AGTATATATAAGATTAATTAGATCATATAGGAGAAAGAATTAGAAGAGGATAACGACATAATATTACTTATCTAGGAGAAGCTCCTGCCTGTGCACTAAAAGTACACTAACGTCTTCTCTAAAGCAGAATCTGATAAATTACCCCCGCACTGTATATATGATCATAAGATCCAGCTAGAAGCGCCATTACCTAACGCATTCTCCCTGCTCTACTAGCAAGGCACTAAAGAGCTTAAGGCTACGAAGCAATACTTGTTAGAGAACCTAGAGAAAGGCTTCATCATTAATAGCAACAGCCCCTTTGCATCCCCTATACTCTTTGTTAAAAAAGCAGACAGCAAATTAAGGTTCTGTATTGATTACTACAAGCTAAATAGCCTAACCTGTAACGATCTGTACCTAATACCCTACATTAACGAGTTGCTTAGCTAGGTGTTAAAAGCCAAGATCTTTACAAAGCTAGATATTAGGCAAGCCTTTCACTATATACAAATGCACCCTAACTCTAAAGAGTATACTACCTTTTAGACTTACTATAGGTCTTATAAGTGTAAAGTGTTGCCGTTTAGATTAACTAACGGCCCTGCAACCTACTAGAGGTACATAAACGACGTTCTAATGTCATACTTAGACAATTTCTATACAGCTTACCTTAACGACATTCTCATATACTCTAAGGACCCTACGGAACATATTAGGCACATACATAAAGTCCTCTAGAGGCTCTGTAAAGCTAGACTGCAAGCTAACATTAAGAAATGCAAGTTTAACGTTACCTGTATAAAGTACTTAGGTTATATACTAACTACTTCTAGTGTAGAAGCAGACCCTAATAAGATCAAACCACTTTGCAACTAGATTTAACCGACTACTGTTATAGGTGTGAAGTCTTACCTAGGCTTCTATAGGTTCTACTACTAGTTCATTCATAACTTTAGAAAAATAGCAAAGCCCCTTACTACTATCACTAGCCCTTTAGAACCGTTTCTATAGACTAACGAATGTAAGAACGCCTTTAAAGAGTTGCGACGACAACTCCTAGCAGTATAGGCACTACACTACTTTAACCCTAAATTGCCTACGAAGCTTAAGACTAACGCTTTAGATAGAGTCGTCGCTGGTGTACTATCCTAAGAGCACCTAGACAAGCTCTAGTACCTAGTAAGCTTCTATAGCTACGTACTTACTAGCCACGAGATTAACTAGGAGATCTACAATAAGGAACTCTTTGCCATCGTGAAAGCGTTTGCGAAATAGAGACCTAAGTTGGCCTTAGTATAACACTAAGTTGACGTTTACACAGACCACTGCTTGCTTAAGTACTTTATGACGACAAAGGTTCTTACTATAAAGTAGGTTTAGTAGATAGAGCTACTATTCAACTTTAACTTCTACATTATGTATATAGTAGGTAAGAATAACTAGAAGGCTGATATTCTAAGCTGAAGAGACTAAGACCTTGTAATGCAACAGAAAGTCAAGTTAGACAGTCATGTAAGGGTGTTACTTAGCCTAGCCTGCCTACACCCCTATATTAGCACTGAGTTAGCTAACAGTTACATAGCATTAATTAACGCCATAGACACCCTAACGGCAACAATGCCCTTTAACCTAATAGAAGCATTATGTGCTAACAATAAGAAGTCGTTTACTAAGACCTGTGCTAGGCAACCGCAACCCTTACTAGACAGGTTCACCCTAACTAACTGACTTCTCCTATATAGGGGCTGCCTATGTGTGAACCGCTACACTGAACTATGCACGAAACTCATCTAAGAGGCGCACGACTAAGTGTCGACAGCGCACCTAAGCGGAAGGAAGACCTACTAGTTGCTTGCCCTAAAATACCATTAGGTTAGAATAGAGACGGACTATATACAGTATGTATGCAATTACGTAACCTGCTGCCTCTTGCACACTAATGTCACGAAGTAACAGGGCTTCCT